CCAGAGCGGGGCAGTGGGGTCTTCGGGTCAGACTCAGAGGAGGGCGGTGAGACCATCGGGTCAGTGCAGAGCTGGCCGAATCCTGCTGCTCTGGGGCGTCTTGCATGGCAGCACAGACTTTACCTCCTCCGGAGCTGCCTTTTGCTTAGGGTGGTAGTGGGGTGCTGGGGGGGTTCCTCAGTGCACCCACTTAACCTGGTTATTATTAATTTACTTCGGTGATAACACCTTTAGTTTGTTGGCTTTTATCATCAATAAGTATTTACATTTACTAATTTAAAGTGGTTTCTTTATAATTTCACCCCCAGGGAATCATGCCTAGATACCTGTTCTCCACCCCAGGAGTATAGAATGCTTGTATACATATGTGTCTGTACATATACCCACATACACTCATACACATGTGTGTGTGTATATATATATAATTTTTATGCTTAATCCAACAGAATTTATCTTTATATATGATATGAAGTATCTTGGAAATAAGCTCTTCTTTCTTTATAAATATAAAGTGCTACTTTCACTAGAGAATAACTCAGACATATTTAAAATTATTAGAGCTTTGACTTTTTAATTGAACTAAGCAGAAAAAAAAAGCAAAGGCCCCCAAATGAAATAATTTGGTCGACCTTTCATCACAATCAGAACTGAATTGGTTATTCAAGTATTTCAAATGTTAATATATAAGCAAGTCCAGTATCTCAAAACTGAATACATAAGCTAATTTAGAAATGCAGTAAATTGGATTCAGTAGGACAAGGAATTTGCATTTCAATTAGTTGATACTAATTCTAAGTAGTGCTCTGTGCGTGGGCAGGGTCTGGCCCATGGAGGACGGGGCCACCAGGCCCAGGATATGACCTTTCTGATTGGGGACACAAGGCCGAGAACCCGTACACCAGGGCACGAGACAGGTGGGAGGGGATTTCTGCTTGTCTGTGTTTCTGAGAGTCAAAGACTTTCTATTATCATGCGTAGTTTTAGAGAACACAGCAGGGAATAGTTAGGATGTGCATACTGAGTGATGAATGAGAAAACTGATTTTTTCTCTGTTTTATAGCAGGAAGATAAGGCGGTTTATAACAGAATAATTCAGCATTAGTCCAAGAGGGGGAACATTCAGAGGTAGAGTTTCTGCAGCCTTTGCAGAAGAAGGGCTCTGTTCTGTGGTTCAGAAGGAGGGTGGCTAACAGCCAATTCAAGACCCAACCTTCTTCCAGTCCCGTATCAGGCAGAGTCAAAAAAGCACTGTGGACACAGTCCATCTCATGGGACAACAGAGTAAATGGAGGCACCCACTGTCCACCTCACAGGACGGCAGAGCGAACGGAGAGACCCACTGTCCATCACACAGGACGGCAGAGCGAACGGAGGGACCCACTGTCCACCTCACAGGACGGGAGAGTAACAGAGGGACCCACTGTCCACCTCACAGGACGGCAGAGTAAACGGAGGGACCCACTGTCCATCACACAGGACGGCAGAGCGAACGGAGGGACCCACTGTCCATCACACAGGACGGCAGAGCGAACGGAGGGACCCACTGTCCACCTCACAGGACAGCAGAGCGAACGGAGGGACCCACTGTCCATCACACAGGACGGCAGAGCGAACGGAATGACCCACTGTCCATCACACAGGACGGCAGAGTAACGGAGGGACCCACTGTCCATCACACAGGACGGCAGAGCGAACGGAATGACCCACTGTCCACCTCACAGGACAGCAGAGCGAACGGAGGGACCCACTGTCCATCACACAGGACGGCAGAGTAACGGAGGGACCCACTGTCCATCACACAGGACAGCAGAGCGAACGGAATGACCCACTGTCCACCTCACAGGACAGCAGAGTAATGGAGGGACCCACTGTCCACCTCACAGGACGGCAGAGCGAACGGAATGACCCACTGTCCACCTCACAGGACTGCAGAGTAACGGAGGGACCCGCTGTCCACCTCACAGGACAGCAGAGTAACGGAGGGACCCGCTGTCCACCTCACAGGACTGCAGAGTAACGGAGGGACCCACTGTCCACCTCACAGGACTGCAGAGTGAACAGAGGGACCCAGAACTTCCCAGGGCCTTTGTGTGCCTGATCATTTCAGGTAAGAACCTGAATCCACACCCAGCAAATTAAAACCAAGTACAACTAGTAAGTGCATCTTCCCATAATATCTGCACCTTCCGTACTGCTCAGGTGAATAGAAGTTGCTCCTGCACCCCAGGAGAATAAAAGCCTCACGGAGACAGCGAGCATTCGTTGTCATTTTTACCACTTGAATCGCTCGGCAACTTAAAAGATTTTGTCAATCAGCTCCTGCTGGGAAGTTCTTTGGTGCAAAAAGAGAAAAACATTTAGTGCACTGTATCCAATTACTTTGAATTCTGTTTAAACTACAATTATAGAATCACCAATTTTGTTTAAAGCAGCCTGTGGGTATAAAATAAACGCAGGATAAGGGTGGTCTGTTTATGTAATTTACCGGCAAAACGTTGTCAAGAGTAAGTTAATACAGGGTGCTACACCTTGCCGCCGGCAGCCGTGGACATCCGCAGCGGTGCCAATGGCTCTTCGGAGGCACCGGGTGGCATCTCAGGACCGGCGGGGCCAAGGGCAGGTTGAGGAGGAAGGTCAGCGCTGTCCGAGCTGAGTGCCACCCGCTGCCCAGCACGCCGTGTGCCCCGGGGCGTCCCAGGCTGCTGCCCTTCCTGCAGCCTCCTCTCACCTGTCCCTGCTGCAGAAACTCCTCAGTCCTGCTGGCTCCTCTCACCCTGCCGGCCTCGGGCGCTCGTGACAGCTGTCCCTGCTCCCGGGACCCCTGGCCTGGGCTGCTCCTGACACTGTCCCTTCTGCAGGGACACAAGCCTGCAGCCTCCAGCAGAGTTGCCTTTCCGCTTCCATTTCTCCTCATGAACTTCTCATTGGATGCCCTGCGAAATTTATGGCTTTAATTTTTTTTTTTTTTTTTTTTTTTTGAGATGCAGTCTTGCTCTGTCACCCAGGCTGGAGTGCAATGGCGCAATCTGGGCTCACCCAACCTCCACCTCCTGGATTCAAGTGATTTTCCTGCCGCAGCCTCCTGAGTCACCGGGATTACAGGTGTGTGTCACCATGCCAGGCTAATGTTTGTATTTTTAGTAGAGATGGGGTCATAATAAAATGGAAATGCCAACTAACTGTTGAATAAAAGTGCTTGCTGGGTGGATATTGAGGCTCTGGTGGGAAGACCACACCTGACTCATCACCGAGGGAAGATTCTGCTGCCTCTGGGGACAGAAGGCAGTGTGGTTTAGCTGCATAAAACCAAGAGACCTAGAGGTGACTTCTGGTAGCTTCATGACTTGCTGAGGCATGGCTCTTCATGTTTAAGGCTTGAGTAACGACATCTTCAGCACAGTTATGCTGACAGCTGCATTTACAGACAGCAGCACAGAGCGGCCAGGAGCTGGGAAGGTTACTGCTCCTGGTATACCGGCAGTCTTGTGATTACTGCCAGCGCTATGCCTACTTCATCACTCTCCTGTCTCATGTTACCCCCTCGTACGCTAGAATCTGGTGACGCAGGAACTTTCCATTTTCTGATTGCACCTGAGTGATTCCACAGTCGGTGTTCAATATGAAGTAGTGTTATCATAAAATCTGGTTTCCCTTTTCGGGACTCTGGTCCTGCTCTGTGCAGGGGTGAGGCTCTCCTATGCACTGCTTACCCTAATGTTCTAGGGCAGACCCCTCAGTGCACATGCAGGTCCGAAGGGAGACAAGCCCAGAGCTCCCAGAAAGGGTTAGGAGTCCTGTCTCACACACTGAGAGAACACTTCACTTGACACTTGTAAGTTCAACCCGTGTCACCTATGACTACTCACTAACATGCACTGCCTCTGTGAGAGCCTAAGGGGTCGGCTCACGCTTTTGGTAAAGGCCAGATGTGAGTGTTCCAGAGTGTGCAGGCTGTCAGGGTGCTGCACACCTTCTCAGCCCCGCCTGAATCTGGGAGGCAGCCACAGCAACGTGGCAACCAGAGAGCGGGGCTGCGTTCCAATAAAACTTTATTCACAGAACAGGCCGGTGGCTGGCCCTTGCTTGCCAGCATCTGAACTGAAAGCTCTATTCTCTGGTGTTATCCCATGAAAAGGGATGGTAAAGGGATGACAGAGGGATGGTGCCGCAGCCCGGGGCTCCCTGTCTGACTTGTGGGCCATAATCAATAATGCTGACGCGGTACTGGCCAAGATTGAGAGGCCGTTCTGCCCTGGCCATCCACGTGCGCAGGACCTCACAGCCAGCTGTGGACGGCAGGGAGCTTCCAGATGGTTCTTGACATTTCCACCCAACTAACCCATGGGACTCAGGACACACAGCAGCATGGCTGTTGTGAGTAATACTCATATTTTCATAGTTCGTAGGAATGGCTCATTTCCCAAGAGTTTTATCTGTCTATATTTTGGAAATTATCAAATTTATTAATAAAACATGTTGGACAAATATATAAAGTGTAGGGCATTCTATTTATAAAGCTAGCCCACTTCCTCACTCCTCTACAAAAACCGGTGCTCCCTAGAAATGCAGTTATAAAGTTACAGTCAACAACAAAATTCCCGTTAATGATTTTTACCCACAAAAACCTTCAAACACACAGCCACGCGCACACATTCATGCAGATGGAGACACAGGCTTGTCCAGGGAGCAATTCGAATGATCAGAAAGCTACGATGGCTCAGGTTGGCTTTAAAATTTGAAGTGGAAGTTGCCCATCCAGACTTCACTAATTACCATGTAATTAATAAGTGACCAAAGCTCTGGTTGTTCTGAAAAAAAAAAAAAAAAAAAAAAAAAAAAAAAAACCAAACAAACTTGAAAACTCATGGCCATGGGGTCTAATATTTTCAGTTCGGGAATGCAGTTTGCATGGGTGGCACTAGCTCACGGTGAACTGGTTTTGGAGAGGGAGCTTGGAGACGGGGCAGAGCTTGGATCGGGAAGGCGCTGGTCTCACTTACGTCTGGTGCTCTCCGAGCGGTCTCTGCCCGATGGACTTCAGCAGCGGCTCCGGTCGGATCGCCGACTTCGGTGACGTCTTGGGGCTGGAGTCCGACTCCCCACTCTCCTCGTCTCCCATGGCTTTAATGTAGCTCCCACTTCTCATTCTCCTGCAGGGAATCTCCTCATCTTTGCCACCGGTGGGGTACCCTCCCCACTCATCCTGAGGCACCTAGGAGCAGACAGACATGGACACACATCAACTTTCTCACGGAGAACAATGGCAACAGCTTCCTCTTGGAAACAAATCCTCTGCAATTCCATAAAGACATAGATCTCTACAGTCATTTATCATTTAAAGTCAGATGCACGACAACGCACACACTGAAAGGACGTGAAGATGACACTGCTGGTTTTTCTTCATGATAAAAGTGGCAGGGAGACATTATGGATGAAGTGAGAACATGTGAGAAAGTGAGGAGAAAGGACACCTGCAGTCTCAGTGGCTGGGACAAGCCCCTGGCTCCAACTGAGTTTCATTTCCCTCTGGTGTAAGAGGAAATTGAAGCTTGAGAAACTGAACAGAGAAGAAGAAAAGGAAGACAAATAGGAAAACAAGGGAGAAAATGCCGATCTTAGTGTTCAATGTCCATTTACACCTTAACTGCAAGGAAATAAAGCAGTGCAGTTTTAACTCTAGAAGCCGAGTTATGCCACACGTGCAGATTCTCAGTGCTCATAGTTGGAAAAGGATCTGTGTAGCTATGTCACATGCCACCTGACATACAGCCGAGCACCCGGGCATGGTATAGATCTGCCTGGTGCAGAACTCAGTACCCGTGCATGGTATATATCTGCCTGGTGCAGAACCCAGCACTCGTGCATGGTATATACCTGCCTGGTGGAGATATATAACTCAGATAACTCAGATGTATAACACAGATATATAACTCAGCACCCGTGCATGGTATATATCTGCCTGGTGCAGAACTCAGCACCCATTCATGGTATATACCTGCCTGGTGCAGATATATAACTCAGATAACTCAGATGTATAACACAGATACATAACTCAGCACCCGTTCATGGTATATATCTGCCTGGTGCAGAACTCAGCACCCGTGCATGGTATATATCTGCCTGGTGCAGAACTCAGCACCCGTGCATGGTATATATCTGCCTGGTGCAGAACTCAGCACCTGTGCATGGAATATATCTGCCTGGTGGAGATATATAACTCAGATAACTCAGATGTATAACACAGATATATAACTCAGCACCCGTGCATGCTATGTATCTGCCTGGGGCAGAACTCAGCACCCGTTCATGGTATATATCTGCCTGGTGCAGAACTCAGCACCCGTTCATGGTATATATCTGCCTGGTGCAGAACTCAGCGCTCGTTCATAGTATGTATCTGCCTGGTGCAGATATATAACTCAGATAACTCAGATGTATAACACAGATATCTAACTCAGCACCCGTTCATGGCATATATATGCCTGGTGCAGAACTCAGCACCCGTGCATGGTATATATCTGCCTGGTGCAGAACTCAGTACCCGTGCATGTTATATATCTGTGTGGTGCAGGATCCAGCACACATGCATGTTGTATGTCTGTGCTGTACAGAGCTGAGCACCCAAGCAGGTAATATGTCTGCCTGGTGCAGATCTGAGCATCTGTGCACGTTATATATCTGCCTGGTGCAGACCTGAGCAACTGTGCATGTTATATATCTGCGTGGGGCAGAACTCAACACCATGCATGTTATATATCTGTATGGTAGCAAACTGAGCAACTGTGCATGTTATGTAGCTCCTGGCACAGAACTGGGCCAATGCACACTCTATATATCTGCCTCGTACAGAGCAGAGAACATGCATACAATATGTCCACGTGGTTCGGAGCTGAGCAGGCACACATCACACACTGCCTGGTACACAGTTGGGCACTGGTGCATATACACGGGGTCTTCCATGTTCAGAGCATATTTTATACCTGCCTGGTGTGGGCTGAGCACCCTCTGTGCTGTGTATCTGATTGGTCCAGAACTGAACACACGTGCATTTTATGTGTCACCCACAACCGCCCCACATGCTGTCTGCTGTGCGTGTGTGTTTAGTGTCTCTCTTAGGGGGGGGTAAACCATGAAGACGACAATGCAGGCCAATATTCTGCTTCCATCACCATCTGAGACACTGGAAACCCAGCTCCGCAATGAACAAAGAGTCACGGAACCTGAACACAATGGTTTGTGCCGCGCGCGGGAGCTGCTCCGTGCAGCTCAGGACATGGGTTCTTTTCCCCATGGTTCATTAGCTTTGAACAGCTCCCCAGAGGCTCTGGATAAGGTTGACTCCGTAGGAGAAATTCACGTTTACAAAGGCAAAAGAACACAGCATGCAATCGCTGAGTGTAGAGAATGCCAAAGTGTTCCATAGCAACTACATCATTACCCACAGTCTGTAGTCAAGGAAGGAGCTAATGCAGAATGTTCTTCACGCTGGAGAAGAGACTCTCCCCAAATGCTGTTTACAGAGAAAGAAAATAAAGAATTTCCTTATTTAAAGGGTCTTCAGATGGGGTATTTTTTTCTCCCACTGTAAAACATGTAGATGCTGAGGTAAATTCTTCATATCATCATAAAAGGAACCTGCTGTCTTTCCAGTGTCCGTATTGGCTGGGAGCCAACGGATAGCGCCAGCAGCAGGGACTGTGTGGCTGCTGGTGAAGGCGGGCCTTTTGGCCAAAGGCCCCTGCATTCATTCCTAAATGGCGTGCCACACCAGCGCTCTGGCAGATCCACCATCTTCCACACTGCAGCCCAGGACGGGGGCCAAGGGAGAGGGAAAGCCATGCTCGTTTTTGTCACCCAAACATCCTGCACTTATGGGCTGATGAGCAGGAGCTCCGCTCACCATGGACCTGGTGTGGCAAAAGGGGTCCCCAACACCACCCAGCCCTGCAGCAGCAAGGCGCAGATACCCCAACATCACAGTCCTGCAGCAGAGAGGTGCAGACACCCCAACACCACACAGTCCCACGGCAGAGAGGCACAGACACCCCAACATCACACAGTCCTGCAGCAGAGAGGCACAGACACCCCAACACTACACGGTTCTGCAGCAGAGGGGCACAGACACCCGAACACCACACAGTCCTGCGGCAGAGAGGCACAGACACCCCACACCACACAGTCCCACAGCACAGAGGTGCAGACATCCCAACACCACACAGTCCCATGGCAGAGAGGCACAGATACCCCAACACCACATGGTTCTGCAGCAGAGAGGCACAGACACCCCAACACCATACAGTCCTGCAGCAGAGAGGCGCAGACACCCGAACATCACACAGTCCTGCAGCAGAGAGGTGCAGACACCCCAACACCACACAGTCCCATGGCAGAGAGGCGCAGACACCTGAACATCACACAGTCCTGCAGCAGAGAGGTGCAGACACCCCAACACCACACAGTCCTGCAGCAGAGAGGCGCAGACACCCCACACCACACAGTCCTGCAGCAGAGAGGCACAGACACCCCACACCACACAGTCCTGCGGCAGAGAGGCACAGACACCCCAAAACCACACAGTCCCACGGCAGAGAGGCGCAGACACCCCAACACCACACAGTCTCACAGCACAGAGGTGTAGAGATCCGAACACCACCCAGCCCCACAGGCCCTTGTGGGTAAGCGTGCAGGTGGATCACAGCTGTAGCACCCCCAAGGCAGCCCAGACACACGGCATCTCACAGCGACACCCCAGTAGCACGCACAGTGTAAGGAAGAGAGGATTGGACAGGATGGGAAGTTCCAGGTTCTCCTTCCATCCTGATTCCAAAAGGCCAAGAGGCTCAGGAAGAGGATCGCGACCTGCAACCGTGAGCTGGACAAGAGGCGTCTGCAATCCTCTCCAGCTGGGTTCTTCTAAAGCCTTCATGACCTGGTGCCTTGTGCCCAGGTGTGCACGAGTTCACAGAGGCATACAGACCACGTTGAGAGGGCATTGGGGTATCGTATTCATCTGTTCTCATGCTGCTAATAAAGGCATACCTGAGACTGGGTAATTTATAAAGGAAAGGGCTTTAATGGACCCACAGTTTCACATGGCTGGGAGGCCTCATAATCATGGCAGCAGGTGAATCAGGAGCAAAGCCATGTCTTCCATGGCGGCAGGCGAGACAGCGTGTGCAGGAGAACCGCCCTTTATAAAACCACCAGATCTCATGAGACTTCTTCACTACCACAAAAACAGCACGGGAAAGACCCACCCCCGTGATTCGGTCACCACCCACTGGAGCTCTCTCATGACATGTGGGGACTATGGGAGCTGCAATTCAAGATGAAATTTCGGTGGGGACACAAACCATACCAGGTATCAATGACTTGGTCAAGGTGAAAGCCCCACAGAGGACGCTGCAGAGCTGCAGAAGCTGTCGGTGGGGTAGGAGACAGGCCTGTGGCCTCAGCCAGAGCAGATTCTCTCAGCAAGAAATCAGCAATTAAGACAACAGGCATAAATTTGACCATGTTTTGTCAAATTTTGTCCACGTGAATTTTGGTTTCACATTTCCTGACAGTGAGGAATTTGACCACTGAAAAAAGTGACTGACGAAGAATCAAGAATTCCCATCCGTGGGCATTTGACAATTCTCATCTTCGTGTCTGCAGGCCAGGTGGTGGGCAGTGAAGCAGCGTCTTTCTGGAGATTCCTGGTCACGTCCTGAGACTGGGCAACTTTCTCTCCATGAAGGTTCCCCAAGAAGGTGCGACCCAGGGCCAGGGACTGGGGAGTTCTTCATGAGGAGAGATGATGATAATGCCCTATCACAGGGGATGGCTCACCATACCTATTACAGCCGCAGGACGGATCCCACCCTGCTACCCAGAATCCCATTGCAGAGTTCGTATCTAGCTGTAGAAAGATGTTCACGACAGGGAAAAGCAATTTTACAGCACTGTGTCCACTCGATGTTTTTACGCTTTTTAGAGATGTGACTGTGTCACGTGCAGAAATGGCCAGAAGATGTGAAACAGGGGCCATCGCCAGGAGATGCAGGCTATGGGCTTTTCAACGATTTTTCTTTATACTTTCCAAATTGTCTACGTGAACCCTACATGACTTTTGTAATAAACCCCCTTATTTTTAATTTAAGACAAGCCACAGTCCTCCGTGAGGTTACAATCACTAGAGGAGATGGACACGAAATGAAATGAGTGACAGCA